GCTCCATCTGGTCTTGTATAGATTGTAGGTTCAGGCTTCTTCCATCACTCAGCCCCTAGCACAGTGCTGTAACAGTGCAGGTAATACAGCAGTAAACCCTGTACTTGCTAACTTGATTTCCAGATCTAAAAATGATCTGAAGGAGAAGCACATGCTTCTGGAAGCACTTAGGAACTGGGAAGCCCTCTGTGGCTCAAAATGTAAAGCAAAAATGCTTACGGTAGCAGTTCTCAAATGTTTTTTCCTCAGGACCCCTGTACATCCTTAAAAATAATTGAGGTCTCCAGAGAGTTTTCATTTATATTGGTTTTATCTTTTGATATTTTCTATATTAGAAATTAAAATTGAAAATATTTTAAAATATTTATTAATTCTTCAGAAATAATAATAATAAGCCCACTAACATGTTATATGTCTTTAATGAAGAGTAGCTATTTTCTAAAGTAAAAAAAGAATTAATGACAAGATGGCATTGTTTTACATTTTTGTCAATATCTCTAAATGACTGGCTTTAACAGAAGACAAGCTTAGTAAAAGACAACTCCTGCATTTGAACTGTAGGGATACATTGTTTTGGTTGAAGTCCATGAAGAAAATTGGCCTTATTCAGATTTATAGGAAAGGCAGAGCATTTTCAGATACTTATGGATTTTTTTCTTTTAATACTTCTGCAAAAACTTGATAGGTTGCAGTTTCTTAAAGGTGAAATCTCAAACTGTATGAATGAACTTCTTTCATTACATAAAAATCCACTGGTCTAATTTGTGCTTAGAATGAATGTGATTTTGTAACATTATACATTGTTGGTTGGAAAAAAATTGAGTCACTGAGTTATGAGATCTTGCAAATATTGGCATATTTCATTTATACAATATAATTATATTTGTTAGTATTGTCGATCTCATGAGAAATACCTGTAGTATGGAGACACTCTCAGGTTCACAGAGGATGTGTGAATAACTTGAATTTTATTTGTCAAGAAATAATTGTTTTCCTTGAAGTGACAGGCTCACGTGATTCATTTTTAAGGAAATAGCTGCGGGATACCAAGTCTGAGTAAGCATAGTTTCTGGTTGGGGAACTAGATCCCACATGCCGCAACAAGATCCCTCGAGCTGCAACTAAGACCCAGCGCAGCCAAAATAAATGAATTTTTTTAAAAAAGAAAATAATTGGCTTTCCCAGGTGCCTCAGCAATAAGGAATCTGCCGGCCAATGCAGGCAATACAGGAGATGAAGATTTCATCGCTGGTTCGGGGAGATCCCCTGGAGTAGGAAATGGCAACCCACTCCAGAACTCATGCCTGGAAAATCCCATGTACACAGGATCCTCGTGGGCCTGCCGTCCATGGGGTCTCAAAAGAGTAAAACATGACTGAGTACTCATGTACGCACGTCATAGTGTTATAAGGCTCAACTGGGATAATAAGGATAACATTTATTTCTAAATGATAATATTCTAGTGGTGTGGTCTTCACGTCTTGGGAGGGTGGAGGGGGTCTTACCTTAGATCCAAACTTCTTGATTAAGTGACCATAAGCATCAGAATTTCAAATATTCTCAATGTGTTAGTGAGGCAAGTACTTCTCTTTTCTTTTTGCATGTGTTTTGGAATTGATTCATTTCAATATGACATTGACTGACCTTGAAACATTGTGCAGAGCAATCATTTCTGGGTCATTACGTTTTGTGGGTACCATGACCAAGAACTTTGATCTTTTGTTTCTCAGTGAATTGATTCCCCGCCCCCCCACCCAAAGCAAGCCTGACATGGCATGCATTAATAATGCATGAAAAAGAAACTTAAATTGGAAGATTTAAAAGCCAACATTGGTGATGTTGCTCCTAATTCTTTTATTGAGACATAGATTTTTCTCCTTCATTAAATCTTGGTCACAGGTCCCCTGCTTTGGGATTCAAGTGGCTCAGGTGGATTGAGAGCCAGAGGCACAAAGATTAGACAACAGAGGACTTAAAGACCCTGAGTTTCTGACCATTCTTAAGTTCCTGATAACAACACACCTCTGTTTCTTAGGCCGAGGCTTTTAGGGGGCAGCATTTTGTGAGCTTAGTGTGTTGAGCTGCAAGGTTTGAAACTGGCTGAGGCTGACCTAGTCACTTACTGTGGCGGTTTTCAGAATTTCTCTTTAGGGAGGAGCACTTGACGTGAGCTCAAGAATTCACTGTTGCGCCTGAGTGAGATGTTTTAAGGAATGCTTCACTCTCTCTTCTCACCATTGTAATAGCTTCTCCAGGACCTTTGTGCCTCCTCCATCTGTTCTGTCCTTCCCTCCCTGATCGGCATCACTTTATGATGTTGGACCAGGGTGAAGAGTTGGCAAGACACAGACCCCTTGGTACCCTGCACTTAGCCTATGCCCATCCTCCGCAGACATTTTTTGCACGTACAAACCGCCTTTTTGGCACCAGGGACCAGTTTCATGGGAGAATTTTTCCATGAACCGGGTTGGGGTGGGAGATAGTTTCAGAATGATTCGAGTGCATTACATTTATTGTGCACTTTATAATTATGACATTGTGATATATAATTGAATAATTAGACAGCTCACCATAATGCAGAATCAGTGGGAGCCCTGAGCTTGTTTTCCTAAGCTCAGGAGGTAATATGAGTGATGGGGAGTGGCTGTTAATACAGATGAAGCTTTGCTTGCTCACCCGCTGCTCACCTCCTGTGCAGCCTGGTTCCTAAGAGGAAGCAGTCTGTGACCTGGTGGGCTGGGGACCCCTGGTCTAGAGGAGACTCAGCCAAACCCTTCCATCTGTCTAAGGCAGTAGCAGGAGCAGGTACCTCTGCTTGCATCTGACAGACCGTGGGTGGTGAGGATCTAGCAGTAAAGCACATGGTTTCAAATCTGAGTCAGAACCACCTGACCTGGTGCAGAGACTCCCAGCCCACTGCCATGATCCTGGCAGCGATGTTGATGGTAGTGATAGTAAGGAGCCGGGGGATTTTGTATTAATAGTCAGAATAGGCAACCACTGTCTTCAGGGTTCACAGCAGTTCGGTATCTGTTAATCACAATCTTCTCTCAAACCGCACAATTTACCTTTGACTTAAAAAAAAAAATAAAGCCACTTTTGTGCCATTTTGAACCCTCTCAAGAACCATGGGAAATCTGCAGCGTGAGCCTGATGAAAGTGCTATCGTGGTTTGATTTCCATTCAGTCTGATTAGCTTTGATTAGAAAAATGTACGTGGCTGTATTAGTTTCCCAGGTCTGCCATAGCAAGCGACTGCCAACCTGGTGGCTTAAATCTGCTCTCCCAGCTCTGGAGGCCAAAAGTCTGAAACTATGGTGTCGCCAGGGTAGGTTCCTTCTGGAGCTCTGAGGGAGAATCCATCTCAAGGAATCCATCTCAGGCTTTTCTCTTAGCTTTCGGTGGCTGCTGGCCACCCTTGGCTTGTAGACACATGGCTGTAATCCCTGCCTCGGTCTTCACCTGGCTGTCTCCTCTGTGCTCTTCTCTTCTAATTAGGACACTTGTCCTCAGGTTTAGGGCATGCAGGTCATCCAGGAGGCGCTCACCTCAAGGTCTGTTCACAGATTCCAGATGATATCTCTTTTGGTCAACAGATTTTCCTTTTTTTTTTTTTTTTGCCTCATGTCTTGTGGGATCTTAGTTCCCCAGCCAGGGATAAAACCTGGGCCCTCGGCAGTGAGAGCATGGTTTCCCGCCATTAATATAGGCTAATACAGTTAATATTAGCCTATAGTTAATGTAGACTCATCCCACTGGACCACCAGGGAATTCCCAGATGGATATCTTCTGGGGAGGCTGCCATTCAACCCGCCACAGGGATCATGGGGCCCCAGCAGCACCTCTGTCAGCCCTGGCTGTGTTGTTTACTGATGCTGCACATTGCTTGTAAAAGAGAGTGCGGTCTGTGCTTCATCACCCAAACTCAACTAGCAGGAAAAAAAAATCACAGAATGCAATCATTTGAGAGAGTGTCAGTAAATAGCATTTTTCTCTTTGAATTCTGTTTTCTTAGGTATTATGTCTAGAAATATTTTTCCCTATTCCAAAATCCAAAGATCTTCCTTCTCTCTTAAAGAGCAAATGACAAGGTACAGTTTTGCATGAGCCCAAAAGTTGTAGATTCATGCTTGGTCTTGACTAAATCAGATGATTGTATTTCTGTAAACAGAATAAAGATTATTTTTCTTCAGTACTTTCTAGATACGGCTTTCTTCTTACAGAGTTTGCCTTTGAACCCTCTCTCTCATTTAACATATATGTGGTTTTATATTGAGTTATTATGTATTTCCGTGGATTAAGCTATATATATATAGTTAATATAGGCTTGTGCTCATAAATCTTAAGCAACAAAGAAGTGAATGAAGTGAAAACTGAAAGCTAACTCTGTTAAGTCTGGTGGGCATTTTTCTGAACTTCTTTATGGGTTATGTGGTTTTGGGGCAGTGTACTGAACTGGTATTATTAGCTGCTATAAAGAAAAGTGAGCATATTGCTAGCCTTGGCCTCTTGTCTTTAGGATAGTAAATTGCTTTTAAATCTATTTCAACAGCATCTTCATTTTTCTAAAAGACTTTTAAAAAATATTTTTGTTTGCTTAGGGATCTCTAGTTGTAGATTGTGAACTCCTAGTTTCAACATGTGGGATCTAGTTCCCTGACCAAGGACTGAACCCACGCCACCCCATGCTTTGAGAGCATGGAATCTTAGCCACTGGACCACCAGGAAGTTCCAGCATCTTCAATCTTTTGGATATCTGGAGTTTTCTAGGTTCTTAGGTTCATTGTGCAGACATAAGGGAGAGCTTAGGTTGTGAAAGCGGCTTTCCATAATTGTTTCTATTTTCTTTCTCTAGATTCTAAACTCTTTTTCTGTTTATCTCTTTGCAGATTTAACCCAGAGACTCACTTCACTATAGCATCACCCACAGTTGTATCAAAGACTGGGGAAAGATAGTGGCAACAGGCAACGGAGAGAGAGCTCTGACAACACAGAAGGCAATGAGTATGCTAAAACCAAGCAGGCTTAAGGCCCCCACCAAGATCCTGAAGCCTGGAAGCACAGCCTTGAAGACACCTGCTGCTGGTAATGCGTTAGGTTTCTCTTTAACAGCAAGTAAATTTTAATCCTATGTGAACACTTCTATTTGAAACTCTTGATTTGAAAAATGTAAGAAGACAGCCTTATGGAACATCATATTCTTGAAAATACTTGAAAAAGTTTCAATTAAAAGGCATAGAATTTTATATCTAGAAGTCTTTTTAAAAATATATCTATTTGTTTAGTTGTACTGGGTCTTAGTTGTGGCATATGGGATCCAGTTCCCTGACCAGCAATTGAACCCTGTCCCCCTGCATTGGGAGCATGGAGTCTTAACCACTGGACCACCAGGGAAGTCCCACCTTTTCTATCTAGAAGTCTTATTCAATGAAGAGTCTATCTTAATTTCATTTCTTCAGTGTAAGGCAGCAGTCCCAACCTTTTTGGCACCAGGGACTGATTTCATGGAAGACAGTTTTTCTACACACTTGGTGGAGGGGTGGGTTTGGGGATGATTCAGTGCATTACGTTTATTGTGTACTTTATTTCTAATCTAATGCTACCGCTGACCTGTCAGGAGGCACTCATTTGTGGCCCAGAGGTTAGGGATCCCTGGTGCACCGGTGCTGAAATAGTTGTCAAGTTAACTTCAGTATTTGATCCTAACAGTGTTAAAGTATTTCTTCAGTTTTCCTCCCCATGTATCTTCCTGAGCCCATCAGGACCTTTCTCCTCCGGGGTTAGGGATATGTAGAGAAAGCAAAGACTAGTCAGACTTAAAAGATACGATGACAGTCATTGACCCGAAATTGGCCGCTGTCATCAGAGAGCACGTACTACGGTGGCTCAAGTCTGGCTCATGAGGGAAGCCTTCAGCAGTTTATAGATGAACCCGTGCCTTTGATCATCTTTAACAACCTGTTCCTCATCTGTTCTCCATCTCCTCCTCTACCGTTTCCACTTAATGATTTTTTTAAATGAATTTCCACCCATAATGATCAGAGAGGCAGGAGGAGAGGGCATCTGATGCTTGCTTTTGTCATCTTTTTATGTGATTTATGCACTATGAAATATAAATCTTAGGTTTTCAGCCATTCTAGCCAGGTGCCCACCATAATCTATTAAGTCCAACATTGTTTTTCAAGTTCTTTCATAAAGACGTTCATTGGGCTTCATTGAGGAAAGGAATCTTTGTGTTCCCCCCTCCCCCGACGCCGCCCCACTGCTGTATTCCATCTACACACCTAGAAAATTTGCTGGCATGTAATAGGAGCTCAGTAAGTACTGATTGATTAGAGATGATGAGTTCTTTACATTGTATGTATCAGGATAAAACCTGGTTCTTTTCAGAGAGTCCATAAAAAGAAAGCTTTACTATAAGGCACAGGACTGTGAAGAAATGGACTTATTTCAGGGCTATTTAGCCTTGTGGAAATCAGTTCTAATTTTGGCGGAAATCAGTTCTAATTTTGGCATCCCCTTCTTCTCCTCAAAATCTTTCCTCTTTTAAGACCCCTTCAAATGCCAAACCTTCTATGAAGCCATCCACTGTTATTCTTAACCCCTGTTAGAATTGTCTTTTTCACCTTTAATATTTTTTGTGCACACCTTTTAGCATATAGAGCCCTTGAGTCCACGGATCATATGTAATTCAACTTGGGTTCCTCACCTTCCTTGGCACACATTAGAGATTAAAGTAGCTTATTAAGACGAAAACTTATGTGCTTGAAAGGAAGTCATTGCCAAGGAATTCAAGACACTTTTATGAAGATGGTTTTTCAGAAATTCATGCTTGCCGCACTCTGAAGAATGATTGTTGATGTGCAAAGCTAGCACTAACTCTTAAAAAAAAAAAACTAGCCCCTATCTTTGGCAGATTATTATCTGTTCTGAGAGTACCCACTGTCTTCTAAAAAAAACAACAATAAAAACCCTCCACAAACAGAAACTCCAGTCTCCCTCTCTGTGTAGGGTAAAGGGATGCTCAGATGCTCAGCACCCACTCTCAGCCAGCCAGGCCACTCTGCTCCCCAGGCTTTGTGTGATTCACTCCTGCTGATCAGACCTCAGACTAGATGTCACCTCCTCCAGGAGGCCTTCCCTGACTGTTCTACCCCAAGGCATTATTTCTTCCACAGCACTTAGACCACCTGAAATGACTTGGTGTGTCTAACTGTCTGCTTCTCTACCTCTAGACTCTGAGCTCTATGAAGGCACGGACTATACTGTCTTGCTTTGTCCCCAGTTAAGAACAGTGCCTGGGACTAGTTCTGGAGTGGTTGGAACTCAAAAAAGATGTATAACATGAGTAAATACATTATTTCATTTAATTCTCATTTTGGGAAGAAAAAACATCAAGATAACACTATTCTCCCCCTTTACAGATAAAGAAAACCTCAGATCATGTAACATCCTAAGATCAGGATATGCCCGGTAAATGGCAGACATGAAGAATTCAGACTCTGTTTGCCAGTTCACGCTAAATATTTAATCAGTGGTTGGTGGGTGGATGCATGAATGTATTTCTAGTGGAAATACCACATTTCTGGCAAAATTTTAACTCTGTCTTTACCATCGGGTAGAGTTTGCAAAGTCATCTTGCTTTCACAGGGAGCCTGGCTCTCTTTTCTTCCTTGCTGGAGCTTCCACCTCTGCTAGCAAAAGAATAGTCTTGGAACAGTGATGGTGGGGACTCCAGCAACAAATCTCCTCCTGTGTCAAGTTTATTGAGAATCTCTGTTGTGACTATTGGCCTAGTCCTGTCATTTCTAGGTGACCTCTCAAATGGGAGAATAGAGTCCATTTCCATGGGTCTGAGTTCACCAATGTGGAGGATATGGGGAAACAGTGAAATCAGACCTACGTTACAAATTCTGGGAAAAGGACTACTTTTTCCCCCCTTGTTTTTGACTTCTTCCAATCTAAATTACAAATAAGGGTTAAGTCTTATCATCTCACTGAGGTTTGATAGCATTGAAAACAGTAGTGATGCATCAGGTATTAATACATTTTACCTCCTTGCTGAAAAAAAAAAGAAGAAAGATAAACGGAGCATCTCTTGAAGTATTGTGGCTACTTTTGCTGCTTTTGACTCTTCTTCTCTAGTTTATTTTCCTTAACTTAAGAGTTGTCTGCTTAAATATGAAACTGAATCTTTTCTGATCCTTTCTTCTGTTTGCAGTTGTCGCTCCAACAGAAAACACAGCATGCAGTGAAAAAACCTCAAGCACTCCGTCCTCTGAGACACAAGAGGAGTTTGTGGATGACTTCCGAGTTGGGGAGCGAGTTTGGGTGAACGGGAATAAGCCTGGGTTTATCCAGTTCCTGGGAGAAACCCAGTTTGCACCAGGCCAGTGGGCCGGGATCGTTTTGGATGAACCCATCGGCAAGAACGACGGCTCGGTGGCAGGAGCTCGGTATTTCCAGTGTGAGCCTCTGAAGGGCATATTCACCCGGCCTTCAAAGCTGACGAGGGAGGCGCGGGCCGGGGCTGAAGCTGACGGCCCGCAGACGACTCCCGCTGCCAGGGCCCCTTCGCCTCCGTCCACTTCGGCAGTCAGCATGGAGTCCTCGGCCCCAGACACCCCCTCACATATTCCCCGCAGATTGTCCCAACCAACTGCAAAGGAACCTTTAGCTACATCTCAGATCAGCAACCTTACGAAAACCACCAGCGAATCTATCTCCAACCTATCAGAGGCCGGCTCAATCAAGAAAGGAGAGAGAGAACTCAAAATCGGAGACCGAGTATTGGTGAGTGTAGAAACCTTCCGAGGTCATTGTGTTGACTTGAGAGATAATCACTGGCGAGGGGATGAAATACACAAGTGTGGGCTCATAATCTGTTCTGTTCACTCGTTTCTAGAGAAATTAATCAGGTTTTCTGGTTCCGTTTCTGTGAATATGCAACAGATTAGAAACTGGCTATGTAGTTTGTACATAGGGTAAGCATAGGTTTGCAGTGATCAACCTAGTTTTGTCTTCCAGTTTAGCTAAAAGAATATTGAATTTTTAGCTTGTAAATATTAAGATAGCTTTATTTGATGAAAGAAGCTGAGAGGTGGACTGAGATGTTTTTTAACAAAGGGTTTTTTTTCCTCTCTGGTTTTTAATTTTTGCTTTCGGAATAGTATGTGGGTAAATATGAGATCCTGTCTCCTTGAGTGTCTTGGAAAACTCAGACATCACAGGATGTTATTTCAGAACTTCTGTGCCTTTCAAACTATCAGATTTAGGTCCAGTAAAAGAAAGGAGATGTACACTAGGTTCTGTTGTGCTAAAAAAGCAGGAAACACAGTGTATGCAGTCTGTATGCTGTACATTTGAGAATCTCCGAATTTGACAGGATAATTGGTTTATTCTTTTTTTGTTTGTTTTACATAAGAGGTAGTATAGCAGTGCTAAAAACACAAGGTGAGTCTAACTCTGCCTTTATGACCTGAGCAACTTATTTAACTTCTTAGTTTTCTTGTCTGTGAAAACAAGGTTGAATAATAGTGCCGACCTCTAGCATTGTTGTGAGGGTTAAAGTAGATGTTGTTGTTGTTGTTCAGTTGCTAAATCATGTCTGACTCTTTGTGACCCCATGGACTGCAGCATGCCAGGCCTCCCGGTTCCTAATTATCTCCCAGCATTTGCTCAAGTTCATGTCCGTTGAGTCAGTGATGCTATCCAAACATCTCATCATTAGATGATGCATATATAATTCTTAGCAGTCAGCACTCAAGAGATGGTAGCTCTTTTTCTCACTGAAAATTTAAAGCTTTACTCTTTTACTTTTTCAACACTTTTGTTAAGTTCACGGCATAACATTTGTCTGAAGCCTTTGACCCTGTGCTCTTTCAATATCCTTTATATCTGTTCAACTGCTTTAAAAAAAAAAAGGAAAAGAAACATGGCTGTTAGTCTTTGAAGTATCCCATGCATTTCATTTAATGTTTTAGCAGTGGATCCTTTATTTTTTTTTTAATTGAAAAAATTTATTTTTGGCTGGGCTGTAACAACCTGTGGGATCTTAGTTCCCTGACCAGGGGTCGAACCTGGACCCTCAGCAGGGGAGCAGTCATAACCACTGGACCACCAGGGAATTCTGTTTCAGCAGTGAATGGAGTAGCACCACAGAACTGATGAGAAAATAGGCTTTAAGAAGTATAGTCACTTGCCCAAGTTTGTACAGCCTCAAGAGTGATGTTTCTGCAATTTAAGTTTAGGTGTTTTTATGTTTTTACTCTAGAACCTGTTATGTAGAGTTGATGACTGATAGTGTAATTTTGAAATAGGTAGTTTTTGTGATTATATTGTCCTACAAATAAGGACATACAGTGCGTTGAAGGCAGGTTTTAGATACAGAATTCAAGACTTCGGCTTCCCAGTCGTGTAGCATTCATGAGTAGCATTCTGTGAATTCACAAGTCCCCTCATACTTGTGGCAGCCCTTTATACCTGTTACCTTCAAGGAGTTCCTTCTGGATCTGTTAGTTTCAAGGTTAGCGGTTCCTTCTTCCAGTTATAATAGTCATGAGTTTTAGCAGTTGATGTTTCAGAATTCAGAGCATCATTTCAGCACATCAGTGCTTACCAAGGCTCAATCTGTAACTTGTTTGTTTGGCATATACTCACTTCTTTGAGGCTTTCCTGGTGGCTCAGATGGTAGAGAATCTGCCTGCAATGCAGGAGGCCCAGATTCAATCCCTGGGTCGGTAAGATCCCCTGGAGGAGGGCATGGCAACCCACTCCAGTATTCTTGCCTGGAGAATCTCATGGACAGAGGAGCCTGGTAGGCTACAATCCATGGAGTCACAGTCAGTCAGACACAACTGCGTGACTAATACAGTTACAGTTCACTTCTGTACCAGCTTTGAGTTTGTCCCAGCTGCAGTTTTGTTGCACTGGAGGTTTTTTGGTGCTTGTGTGTTTAGTTGATCAGTTGTGTCCAGCTCTCTGTGACCCCATGGACTGTAGCTCACCAGGCTCCTCTGTCCATGAAACTTTTCCAGGCAAGAATATTGGAGTGGGTTGTGGTTTCCTTCTCCTGGGGATCTTCCCGACTCAGGGATCAAACCCAGGTCTCCTGCATTGCAGACAAACTCTTTACCATCTGAGCCACCAGGTGGCCCTGGGTTCTCCCTCTGCTGTTAGCAAAGAGGATTTGGCTCCAAGTTTCCCAAATTCCCCTGCTCAAAAGAGTGGAGCGCCACGATCTGTATGTTTTTAGTTTTAATTACGTGCTGAGCCCATGGGTAGGGCCAAATGAGAGTTGGGGCAGTTGGTCAAGGAATTTATCTTGAAAACTGGTCATGAGTAAGACTAGTCTGCTTCCAAGACCAGAGTCTTGGCTAAACTTTTTGATCTTAGTGTTCTGTAAGAGTGTGACTCTTGCAGTTAAATATTCTGCACTTTTATCAACCTCAGGTGGTTCCTTTTTTTTTTTTTTTTGGTTCCTATTAAATGTTTAAACAGTTACAAATAGATTTTATTTTTGTTTAAAAAAGTATTTATTCATTTGACTGCACCAGTGTACCAAGTCTTAATTGTGGCCTGTGGCATCTAGTTCCCTGACCAGGGATCAAACTTGGGCCCCCTGCGTTAGGAATGTGGAGTCCTAGTCACTAGACCATCAGGGAAGTCCCTGTCTTTTGTTTTAAAAAGTAAATAAATAAATGCTGTGGGACACGCGGATGGCGTTTCAGTTTTCTGCGTTGTCAGCCCCTTGGGGAGTCCCTCCCTTTCTCGCTGCTCTGACATGTATCCATCACCTCCATCTTAATTTTAAGCTAATCCTCCGTTTTATTTAACTTGGATCTGTTTTGTTCCTTAAGCAGCTGTATGAAGGTGTAATTTATGCATCCAGACATTCAATCATTTTTCATAAATGTACACAGTTATACAGTCACTATAATCCAGTTTTAGAATATTTGCTTCCCTTGGAAAGTTCCTCCTGCCAGTCTGCAAGTCATTCTCCACTGCACCTCCAGCCCCAGGCAATCAATGATCCATTTTTTTGTCTCTGCACATTTGCCTTTCACAGATATTTCCTATTTTTGGTGTTCAGTCAGTTGTGTCCGACTCTTTGCGACCCCCATGGACAGCAGCATGCCAGGCTTCCCTGTCCTTCACCATCTCCCAGATCTTGCTCAAACTCAGTGTCCATTGGGTTGGTGATGCGATCAACCATCTCATCCTCTGTCGTCCCCTTCTTCTCCTACCTTCTATCTTTCCCAGCATCAGGGTCTTTTCTAATGAGTCGGCTCTTGGCATCAGGTGACCAAAGTATTGGAGCTTCAGCATCAGTCCTTCTAATGAATATTCAGGATTGGTTTCTTTTAGGATTGACTGGTTTGATCTCCTTGCAGTCCAAGGGACTCTCAAGTGTCTTCTCCAACATCACAGTTCAGAAGCATCAATTCTTTGGTGCTATATAGTCCATGGAATTCTCCAGGCCAGAAATCCTGAAGTGGGTAGCTGTTCTCTTCTCCATGGGATCTTCCCAACCCCGGGATTGAACCCAGGCCTCCCACATTGCAGGCGGATTCTTTACCAGCTAAGCCACCAGGGAAGCCCAAGAATACTGGAGTGGGTAACCTATCCCTTCTCCAGTGGATCTTCCCGTCCCCGGAGTCGAACCAGGGCCTCTTGGATTGTAGGTGGATTCTTTACCAGCTGAGCTACCAGAGAATCCTATATTTCCTATAAATGCCCCCCAATCTTACGTAGCTTTGTAATGTCTGGTTTCTTTCACTCAGCAGAGTGTTTGAGGTTCATCATGCAGTTCATTGCTTTTTACGACTGATGATACCCCATTTTAGGGTTATACCACATCTTTATCTGCTCACCTGTTTAGTTTTAATTAATTAAATAATTTTATTGGGGTATAATTGCTTTCCAGTGTGGTGTTAGTTCCTGCTGCACAACAGCGTGACTCAGCCGTGTGTATACATACATCCACTCCCTCGTGAGCCTCCGTCCTGTCCCCGTCCCTCCCCCTCGGTCATCCCAGCACCAGGCTGAGCCCCGCAGCAGCTTCCCACGCGCTGTCCCTTTGACCCGTGTCAGTATGCAAGTGTCAGTGCTAATCTCCCAGCTCACCCTTCCCTCCCCTCACCCCTGTGTGTCCGCAAGGCTGTTTTCTATGTCTGTGTATCTGTTTCTGACCCGCAAGTAGATTTGTCTATACCCTTAAGCGAATTCTTGCTGAGAGTTTAAAATGTCACGTGTTTGTTGCTTATAATCTTATACTGAAAAGCAGTTCTGTGCTCACTCTCTGTGCTAACAAGTTAATCTCACCCCCCCCACACACACACACTTTTTTTTTTCCTGTTTCTTGGTATTTTTGGGGTCCTGTCCTGAAGGAGTTAATATGTTTTTCAGAAGGAAAGATTAGTTTCAAGAGCTAGAAGGGCAAGTCAGGCATAACTTCTAAGTGGCATCTTCCTCATTATGTCCTCTTTTGTTTACCGGTTTGTTCTAGGGAGATTTAAAGTATAAGAGAATGTCCGTCATCTGCTCTTTTAGTTTTTTAAGAGAACTTACTTACCGTCATATTTTGTAGATAGGGAGACTCAAAATGATGAAAAGGAAACAGTGGTAGGAAGGTTCTATTTATTTGGCCTAGAGAAAATAAGACGGCGAAACAGCTGTATTTAACACCCTGCAGCTCATCCAGTGAATACACTTGTCTGCCGTGTGTGTGCCAGGCAGTGTTCTAGGTGCTGCAGACTTGGCAGTGACCAAAACCAGCCCCGTGTTCCCTAATG